GTGTGTGTGTGTGTGTGTGTGTGTGTGAGAGTGAGAGAGAGAGAGAGAGAGAGAGAGAGAGAGAGAGAGAGAGAATCAACTTCATTTTAACCCCGTCTATTAATGAATGCATTTAAAAAGAAGGCATCGTGTTAACATTCAGTTCAGTCCTTCCCCTAATTCCCTTTTCAGGAAGGGCATCACCACACTTAACCTAGCAGCTGACCGAACAGCCCATAACACAAATGTGCCTGTTCTCTGTGCTTCTTCAAATGGATCAAGGAAGAAAGGTCTATGTTCTCTTCCAGACATTTAGAGGGCTGTGCACAATTGGGATACAGTTTAACCTCTCCCCTCCCCCCGCCTTACTCTCCTGTTGTTTCCAGGTACATTTTACCACAATTTTTTTAAGCCCAGATGGTATAGGATGCTCCCAGGACCACCCGCTTCCAGAACAATGAACCAAAAATTGTCTTCATGTCTGTCTGCAAAGGGTACATGTATCAAGCATTCTTGAGAACCTTTCTCTGCATTGCACTCTGATGTGGAACAGGGATTAGAATTTGCAGGATTTTTACTCTTTCTTCTAGGCATTGCAAATCTTAACTATTGATTTTCTTGGAGCTCTTCCATCCCATTGCTTTGGGTAGTGTTGGAGGTGGTGTCTTCCTCCCTTCTTTACTGGGAAGGAAGTAAAACTTCTCACTAAAAGCACTGCACTGCTCCAAAGACAATGACTACAAGGACCCCTTTTCTTTCCTTTCCAGTCCTCTCCCTACCTAGACTGGAGAAATGAAAGGTTAGTCGATGACAGTATAGATGGTTCTGTCTCCATTAGTAAGCCTTAGTAATGTGTCTGGACTACATTATGGTAATCTTGACAGTTCTTTAAAATGGGTAGTAATAGGAGCTTTATATTTGTAAAATGTAGCCAATTCCACTCAATCTTTTGTGTATCTTGTGCGAGAGGGGTTGTTATTGTAAGATAAGCGTTCTGATGTGTTCGGGTAGGATGACCAAAGCAGCTATATCTAAGCTTTCACCTCAAATAATAAAGTTACTCTTTATTTTGGGTAATTTCAAAGGCACGTTGCAGAATTTGGAAATGATTCATATGTTAAAGTCGGTGTGTCTAGAAAAATTCTATGGAGAAATCTAGCAAATAATTGAAAGCATGATATGAATCTGGAGCATGGAAAAGAACTTTAGTAAGAGAGATTATTTGGAGCCATTAATGTATATATGGCATTTGAAACCTTGGAAATGAAAGATATCTTACATGAAAGGCAATCAGATATAGAGGCTAACTCTGGAGACCATCAATAAGAGATGAGAAGAATATACTAAACATTTTTTAAAAAGTGTCAGAAAACAGAAAAGATTAAGAGGAGACGAACAAATAAATAGGAAAAGAGAAAACAGAAATAGAGTTTGGCAATGAAAGAAGGTGAGGAGTGATGAGGAAAAGGAAGTGTGATGTTGAAGAATGACGGAATGAGAGAAAGGAGAGCTGGCTCTGTCAGGCTGTGGCATAGTGCCACTGATATTTGCCTGAGAAGTCTCTCAAAAGCTCCAATGGCATAAGCTGTCCAACATGAACCTGGAAAAGGTGTGAAATTTATGGTTCTTTCTAAATACTCTTGCTGGCTGTGTTAATGTGACAACTCATTCACATAACTTTATTTATTATATATATATATATTATTGATTTTTTACAGAGAGGAAGGTAGAGGGATAGTTAGAAACATTGATGAGAGAGAAACATCAACCAGCTGCCTTCTGCACACCCCCCTACCGGGAATATGCCCGCAAACAAGGCCCATGCCCTTGACCGGAATCGAACCCAGGACCCTACAGTCCACAGGCCGATGCTCTATCCACTAAGCCAAACTGGCCTCTGCTATAAATATATTTTATTGATTTTTTACAGAGAGGAAGGGAGAGAGATAGAGAGTCAGAAACATCAATAAGAGAGAAACATTGACCAGCTGCTTCCTGCACACTCCCCACTGGGTATGTGCCCACAACCAAGGTGCATGCCCTTGACCAGAATCGAACCTGAGACCCGTGAGTCCGCAGTCTGACGCTCTATCCACTAAGCCAAACCAGTTAGGGCACACAATTTATTTTTTTGAATCCTCACCAGAGGATATTTTTTCCATTGATTTTTGGAGTGGAAGAGAGAGGGAAAGACAGAGAGGAATATCAATGTGAAAGAAAACATTGATTGGTTGCCTCCTACACAAGCCCTGACCTGGGCCCAGGCTGGGGCGGACGGAGCCTGCCCTCGACCTGAATGGAACCTTGGACCCTTCGGTCTGCAGGGATGCTCTATCTACTGAGCCAAACCGGCTAGGTCCATGGTGATTAATTTTATGTCAACTGGGCTAGACTGTGGCATCCACTTATTTCCTCAAATACTAGTCGAGATGTTGTAAAAGAATTTTTTAGGTGTGATTAACATTTATAATCAGCCAAGTTTAAGTAAAGCAGATTATATTTCATAATGTGGGTGGGCCGCATTCAGCCATTTAAAGGTTTTAACTACAAAGACTGAAGTTTCCCAAATGAGAAGGAATTCTGCCTCATGGCTACACGGAAATCCTCCCTGTATTTCAGCCTGATAGCATGCCTGGCAGACTTTGAATACAAGCATATACCACCAACTCTTACTTGAATTGTGACTTTCCGGCCTCCATTACATAAGTCAATTCCTTAAAATAAATCTTTCTCTAATTCTATATAATATATTAAGTACATTATTAATATAATTAAAATAACAATTTAATTAATTTCCCATTAAATATAATTTAAATAATTAATATTGTATATTAAATGAAAATATATCTTACTAGAGGCCCAGTGCACAAAATTCATGCATGGAGGGTGTATGCCTCTCAGCCCAACCAGCACCCTCTCCAATCTAGGACCCCCCCTCACAATCCAAGACTGCTGGCTCCCAACCGCTCACCTGCCTGCCAGCCTGATCAACACCTAACTGTTCCCATGCTGGACTGATTGCCCCTAACTGCCCTCCCTTGCAGGCCTGGTCATCCACAAATGCCTTTCCCTGCTGGCCCGGTCACTCCTAACTGCCCTCTCTTGCCAACCTGGTCCCCCCTAACTGCCCTCCCCTGCCAGCCTGGTAACCCCCAACTGCCCTCCCCTGCTGGCCTTCTTATAGTGGCCATCTTGTGTCCACATGGGGGTGGCCATCTTGTGTGTTGGAGTGATGGTCAATTTGCATATCACCTCTTTATTATATAGGATTATTTACATATAATTACATGTTACTCTCAAGATATCTTCATATATTACATTAATATATAATATATTTTAATACAATATGTTAATTTAACAAGATATATGATATATGATAATGTATTAATATTATATAGTATGCAATAGTATATATATATATATATATATATATATATATATATAACACTAACTATTAATATATTAGTGTTTCTGTCATATATATATGACAGAAACACTAATATAGTTAGCTATTGTTTTTGTTTCTTTGGAGAATATTGACTAATACATGTGTAAATTTTAGCATAGGACCAGTATTTCAATTAGTAGCTTTTTGTATGTTATTCCCACTAGATTACAAACTCCCTTAGGTCTAGACTGCTTCTCATTCATGTTTGTATCTACATTGTCTGTACATTTTACACACATAATAAATAACCACAGAATTAGTAGATCAGAATGTTCTTGATAGTAATGGATTAAAAATGTCAGATCTTTTTTTTTCTAATGAATACCATAGTTCTGGAATAAATTTGCTTTAATTGATGATAACAAGTTTGGTGTCTGGTATTTAACAAGACTGCAGGCTGGATAGCTGAGAAACATTCATCAGCAGGTGGCAAGGAGAATGCAGTTATCCTGTGCTCTGTGGTGACACTTTGGTGTTGCAGCTGATCCAAGTCTCTGACCACCGACTCAGCTTACAAGACATGATGTGCTTCTTCAATATCTTAAAATTGTATTAAATCTTATTCTGAGTCTTTCTCTTGTTCGGTTCATGAAAAAGATAGCCATTTTCCTTATTGGGGTGACCTATATACCTTACAGGTGATGGGAAGATGGGTGTTAGGTAGGAAGCTCCTAGCATCATCTTTTAAATTTTATGTCTGTTGTTGAAAATATTGTATATGACCCTCTTTTTCCCATTGACCCCTTTTAGCCCACACTGGACCCCTGCCCCGGGCCTTCACCACACTATTGTCTTTGTCCATGGGCTAGGTATATAGTCACACAGTTCTTTGGTTAATCTCTTCCCACCCACCCTCACCTTCCCTCTGAGAGTCCATAGTCTGTTCCATGTTTCTATATCTTGGATCTATTTTGTTCATCAGCTTATTGTGTTCTCTAAATGTCTCATATGATACTTGTTTTTCTCTGACTGGCTTATTTTGCTTAGCATAACATTCTTCTCCAGGTCCCTCCGTGCTGTCTCAAAGGTAAGAGATCCTTCTTTTTATAGCTACATAGTATTCCATGGTGTAAATGTGCCACCAGTTTTTTGTTTTTTGGTTTTTTTTTTAGCCATTCATCTATTCCTAGTATCTTGACAAGCACAGTAGACTGTGAGGTCTTCTATGTCATGCCTGTGCCCTGCCTGCAAAGTTCCTCCAGGTACATCAGCTCTTGACCTCTGGCCTGTACATTCCCTAGGACATGGGGTCTTGGCCTGGAAAGCTGGTGCCTAGAGTTGAGCTTTCCTGGGTAGGTCAGGCAAGTACCTCTTGCAGTTCTGGTGCCTTCCCTGGGATCCACCATACACTTGGATGTCCAGCCCCCTCTATCTCTTTAATCAGTGCAGAATGCCATGTCCTCCTTTGTGTTGTCATAAAAAAATGCTCCTAAAATAATCTAAAAAGTCAACTTTACTAAAATAAATAAATAAGTAAATAAGAGAAAGATAGCATGAAGTATGAAAATACTAAAGTTACCTGCATGTAAAATGGAGTGAAAGGAAAATACAGCAAATTAAATGTTTTACTTACCTTAGTGGTACTTTTCTGTTCGCAAGAAAACACAAGGTGGCAACTGCAATATGTGTCATCAGGAAAGCTAATCCAATACCCAAGAGAGTCCATATGTCTAGAATTTCAAACCAATGAAAAGGATGCACACACAGTCAAAAATATTAGAGACTCAAAAGCCCAGTGATTCATTTAGTCACAATGTCACCTACTATTCTGAGAGTATGCAAGATCTGCAGTAGAATGGTGAACTTTGATATGACATCGATTTCCTGTCCATCCTTGTCCACATCTGGAAATGAGATAAAAGATGACAGTTAGAAAAACAAAAAGGAAGTAGCAGCATATTTTAGTAGTTGTCATGGAATAAGTTGATGAGTGGCAATAGAAAATGAGATACTTGCAATGTGGGTAACTTTGATAAGAAACTAAAAATGTTAAACCAAAGTAAAAACAAAATTAAATTTCATTATTTTCACATTATTGTGTAAGATGATGTTTGTTGTGATTTACCTTCTCCTAGAAATTTACCTTCTCCTAAATTATAAGATGGGCACTTAGTTTTCAGAAACTTCCTTTTTTGTTTTCAAAAATTGACTTGTTTTCCACCAGTGTCCATATTACTTTACTCATTTGTCTCAAACTTAAAAGCTAGCACATTCTTTCAATAAAAAGTGATTTAACTTACTTCAGGTACTGATAGAGATGATTCAAATTATGGATTAATATAAATTACAGAGCACAATTATTTTTCTTTAAAACAGATGATACTTCAAGTTCATAGATTTGGAATCAGGTTGGTAATCTCATGGGATGGATTAGGAATACTAATAGAATTTCACTTCCTTTGTTTTACTTAGGGACATATATGATGAAACTCAACACTGGGAACATCTCCTTTGATATGGATAGTTTTTAGATCATTCAGAAATTGAGATTAGCTTGTGCTCAGAGAGATAGGATTGATTTCTAAGTGGCAAACGTGTTAGAATACTTCTGGTAGTATGTATTTGCATATGGGTACGAAAACTTGGGTACACATTCTTTTTTTTTTTCTTTTTACATTCTTATTCACCAGAAATAACACAATACAAATGAAAAAGGACTTAGTTGAATTTCCTGCCATGTTCATGGTACATGCTACAAAATAGGATTAAAAACTAGCTTCTGAATAGTGTGCTTAAAAGCTGTGTGTTGAACAATGCTTCTTCAGTACACATTTATTTTAGTTTCATTCTCTCTTTTGAATTTGAAATCTTGAATGATCAATAGCAATTCCTTCAAAAAGCAATCACTTTTTTTTTTTAAATATAAAAAGCTTAGAAGTATAAGGAGGTCTATATAAGAATACCTTCTTTCTTTAAGAGGTATTCTTTAAAAGGTAGAAATTTAAGACATTTGACTTTTTGGATGTTACTGAAATTCAAATGAAAATAAATCAGAATTGTTAATTAATGGAGTATTTTCTTTTGAGTTTCTTATGTATTCTTTCATTTATTTGTTAAATTCATTTATCTCTTTTATTCTCATTCTTCATTTTAATATTTTTCTTTCCAACTTGTCATTCATTTTAAAGTGCTTAAAGATTTCTTTTTAGCTTGGGTAATCTTGTAAAACATCTAATATTATTTTACATGCATACATTAATACTATGTTTTTTATTCTCATAACTATTAGGATATAATTCTTGTCAGTTCTCAATTGACAGTGTACCTCTACATGTCAGTCTTTCACATGTGCACAAACTGGTGTGGCCTAGAGACAGCGACAGGTATTCATTTTGGTTAATTGGGCATCGTTAGATTTTTTAAAATGCCACTCACTGGCATGAGAATCATACTAGTCTTCCCTTTAGATATATGGTAGAAATTTGAATATGCCTATTAAGATAAATGTCAGTGGTCACTATCTTAAAATACCAGTTAAAAATGAATGGACAAATCTATATGTGTGCTGTCTATCGATCATCTATCTTCTTTCTATTTGTCTATATATTTATATATGTATGTATACTTATATATTATCATTTACCTGTCTATAGTGTGTTTATGTATGTATGTATGTGTGTCAATCTAATAAAAGAACAATATGCAGATTGAACATCACTCCAACACATAAGATGGCTGACCCATGTGGACACAAGATGGCCACCACAAGATGGCCAGCAAGGGAGGGCAGTTGGGAGGGCCCAGGCCTGGGGGTGATCAAGCCTGCAGGGGATATATGTGTTTTCAAGGGGATTTACTTGTGAGTTTTAATATATACCAATTAATTTTGAAGTATGAATAGAAACTACTGAAATTTTAAAATTATACAGTAATATCTATGATTCAAAAAAATTATTGTCGCCGAAACCAGTTTGTCTCAGTGGATAAAGTGTTGGTCTATGGACTGAAAGGTCCCAGGTTCGATTCTGGCCAAGGGCATGTATATTGGTTGTGGGCACATCCCTGATGGGGGGTGTGCAAGAGGCAGCTGGTCGATGTATCTCTCTCATCGATGTTTCTAACTCTCTATCCCTCTCCCTTCCTCTCTGTGAAAAATCAATAAAATATATTTTAAAAAAAATTATTGTCACTGGGCTAGTGTGTCTCAGTGACTGAGTGTTGACCCATGAACCAGGAGGTCAAGGTTTGATTCCTGGTTAGTGCATATGTCTGGGTTGTGGGCTTGATCCCCAGTAAGGGGCATGCAGGAGGCAGCCAATCAATGATTCTCTCTCACCATTGATGTTTCTCTCTCCCTCTCCTTTTCTTTCTCTGAAATTAATAGAGCATATTTTTAAAATTTTGTCAACAACAATAAGTTGTTCCTTGAAGCAGAGATTGTAATCTCCACACCAACCTGGTTCCAAGCATTACTTCCTTCCTATTTGATGTTTATCAGATTAAAAGTAATACATGCTTAAAGTAATGTATGTTTGAACACAATCCTTCATATCCTTATGTAATTCTATCCTTATGTAACTAATATAAACAGCCAAGTATGTCTCTTTCCACTCCTTTACTCTTTCATAAAACACACACATGTGTATACCTATGTGTGTGTTTATTGTAATAGAAACATCTACATTTCTCTGTAACAAGCTGGCTTTTACTTTCCACAATGCATTATGGGCTTCCTTAAGGCCAGCTGTCTATATAAACAAACAACCCACACAGACAATTTTCAGAAATTAACATATCATGTGTATATTTCTTAGTTTAATATTTTTGTTGTTGCCTTTCACCTTCTCCTCAACCCTTTCCATTAAGGAGAAACATCTGCTTGGTTGCAGAAAGAAGCAAGAATATTTATCAGATATTTTATCTTTGTCATACTAAATTCCTTCTATGGATAATTCAGTGTTCAAAGTAATTGTGGTAGTTGCATGCGGAGACTCCATTCAAACAGGGAGAATAGATGAGATATTGGGAAGATTTTGGTATACTTTGATTAAGCGGATGCCAGCCCAAGAAGACCAGTCCTGGTGCGGCATCTAAGGCAGAGCTGGATGGTTGTTAGAGTGGGGTGGATTTAGGGAGTGCTGTGCAATTGTGTGATGCCAAGATACAAAGTAGAGATTAAAATATATGACATATAATAAGGTTAAAAAAGTGCTAAAGGCCCTAGTTGGTTTGGCTCAATTGATAGAGCATTGGCCTATGGACTGAAGGGTCCTGATTCAATCTTCTCTCTCTCTGTCTCTCCCCCTCCCTTCCACTCTCTGGAAAAAAAAATATCCTTGGGTGAGGATTCACTATAAATAAATAAATAAATAAATTGCGTTCCTTTGTTAAGATAAATTATATACCTTAAAAAAAAAAAAGTGCTAAAAGGGAGGACGAAAGACTTGCTTCAAGAATAATTATATTTCTAGACCCAGAAAGTGAAAAATGTGCAACCTCAATTATACATTTATGGAATAAGTGATATATTAAATTATATTTTAAATTATATTTATTCCAAAGAATGAAGTATAAAATGTTCCAGAAAAATTGGTCATCCAATAATAAATAAATCATTTATAATTGATTAGATCTGGAGGCATAGATTCAAATATGTTATTATGGGATCCCAAATTAACCTATAAATTTCCAAATTCTTTTACACTGTATTTGTAAAGCCATATTTACTCTAATATTGAAGTTTTTAAGGATGTAGAAGTAAAATCCCTTCAGAAGCAGCATGCATTTTGAATATATTTTAGATTATATTTATAATCTAGCATTTTAGAAGTAGATTTTTTTTTCCTTAGGTATTTTTATAGCAACATGTTGTGATAATTAAATTCATTTATATCATTTTTGTTTATAGAAGCCAGTATCTTCTATATTTACATTCCATGCTTCAGAAAACCACAATATATAAAGCCCAAAAGGAATTACAATTGAAAACCTGCTATGTGCTCAGCAATATTCTAAATGCTTTACTATAGTATTTGTAATATAATAATGTTATGGAAAAGAAATTATTTCCCCATTTCATATTTGCATAAATAAGTCATAGAGCAGTTAAACAGCAAATCACTTATGGGTACATTCTGAATGAGATTTCCAACTATGTCTCTTTATCTCCTCAGCCAATGACTCTCTGTTCACTACATGGTTTTGCTTTCCATGTCTTCTCAAAGTAGGAATTTAGTTGTTTATAATGGCAGTTAACTTTATAGTGTTTGTCTGTTAGAACTTTCTGGTCCTCATGGTCTGGAAATGTCCATTTATCACATTAGGCTTTACTCTGGAAAAATCTCTTGTGTGGGGGTCAGATGCTGCTGGGGCCAGATATGGAGGGAATCTCCCTTTTCATCGTCCAGCATGGAAAGAAAGATGAACGAACCTGTTCTAAGTGAAGGTGGCCAGGGATTGAGGAAGAAGAAAGAAAGAAAGAAAGAAAGAAAGAAAGAGAGAGAGAGAGAGAGAGAGAGAGAGAGAGAGAGAGAGAGAGAAGGAAGGAAGGAAGGAAGGAAGGAAGGAAGGAAGGAAGGAAGGAAGGAAGGAAGGAAGGAAGAAAGAACTTATAAATAGAACCAAGCTGGGAGCCAGGTGGGACTCCATTCTCTCTGATGGAGAGGCAGTGAAGACCCTGAGCCCATGCAGCACATTTATTTTATACCTCCAAATACCAGGAAGTATCACCAAACACTTAGGATCAAAGGAGTTTATTTGCATTCTTGAGTAGGCCAGAGCATTCCTGGTGCTTGACTGGATTTACATATCAAAGCCCACCCCTGCGGACACCTGGGCTGATATGAAGGCCAAGCTGATAACCTGTCCAACCTCATTGAGGAAGCATGTTCCTAGGGCATGGCTC